TGTGGTGCGTTCTCTTAAGCAAAATGAAGTAAGTAATTATTATTCTTATTTATGACTTACAGATATTTTCGAAAAATGCTCATTCGACGAGAAAAGGAAGCGTTTTCTTCCGGTTACTGTTTCTTAGGGAGTGTGATCACTAACGTGAAATGAGGGAGACTCGAAGATATTTAATATGACGTGACTTTCCATTTCGAAGAAAAAGTTAGTTGGAAGCAATTCTCAAAATATATCACCAAGAAATTCTTCTTGATCCACTTTTTCCTCATATCTTTGACATGGAAAGAGCCTTATCTTTCTACTACTTACGCTTTAACTCTGCTGAGTTTCAGGGCATTTACCCAAAAACTGTATCACACTCGGTTGATTACGATGATGCAAGCGCTGATAGAGGAGCCATTTTCACAATGAAATGAGTGGAAACATTCACAATTCCATAAAAATTCACTCAACCCTTCCTTCCTACAGGTGTTTTTCTCCGGGCAGAGTACAGTTTCGAGCTTGCCCACACCTCGTCAGCCTCGCCATAAAGATGAGAGCCCGTATTATGGGCATTAAGATGTCATATGTGCAATAAAACTAGCATCTACCCCGTGGCCCACTACCTTCCGATGCTGAGAATCACAAGTAAACTTTCAAATCCCACTGAGGGTATGGGTGAGACTCGAGCGATCCGCTGCTCACCTTGTAGGAAAACTTTCCTCCTCAGTGATTGCGTCACCTCAAGCCATTTGATGTGGCACTATTCTTGAGTTATGCGCTCGCTTCATTCCAAGAGAGAGTGTCTGTGTGAGGAAGAACTTCGAGAGCCGATTCCACCGAACGACAATGACAGCTTCCTCTTGGCAAGAGCATCCTATTTTTGTATTTAAGTAGAGTCTACAGACTATCAGTCAATCAGTAGTATGAGATGTATTCAGCCAATTTCGTTTAAGGTGACGAAGGACTGGTAGTAGAATTATCCCACAATGCTATGAGTAGAGCTGGCGTTTCGATTAAATGTCACATAGCCTTGCTTTCCCAAAAGTCGTTATCATCCCGGCTGAAGTGGACTGCATTTTCGACCTCGCATCGGTCTTATCAACAACCCCATCGGGAGTCGAACCATAATAGTAGAGCATGTGAATTTGATACGCTAACCACGAGTGCTCTTGGGTCATAGGGCAGATGTGAATTTCAACGAAGGTCAGGCCTTTTGCCATATCATATTCTTTGGTGGGATTTTCGATGAAGCAAACGTATATTTGCTACAACAATCGAATACGTTACTTATTTTTCGTGTTTGAGTAGAGTTTCGAGGCTATCAGTAAATCAGTAATATGAGATGTATTCACCAAATTTCGTTGAAGGTGATGAGAACAACTTTTTGGAAAGCAAGTCAATGTGCAATTCAATGGAAGCGTCAGCTCTACTCACAGACCTTCATCACCTTACACGAAATAGAGTGAATTCCTCTCATATTAGAGCATCCTAGTTGACGCTGTCACTGAGACAATCTCATTAGAGTCAGATAGAGATTTGCTAAGCTTTCTTTCGTCCTATGACGAGCGTCATCAGAGCAAGGTTTGCTTCTTGCAACTGTAACTAGGCCAATGAATGAACAAAACCTATCGACATGTTGTGTTTCTACTTCTACTCTTTTTTCAAGGTGTATAATGATTTGGTTAGTTCAGCTCATATGCAAATCTAGAAGCATGTGCTTCTGTATGCTTGTCAACTTGAATATGGCTCTAAGAAGAATGCTCTGTTCTGATGACTGACGAGAGTCCAGCATATTTTCACCGGAATCGAAGGGGATTGTCTCAAGGACAGCCTCAACAAGACGGTACCAGTAAAGCCAACCGAGACCTGACCAATAGAAATCCACCGTCTTCCTCCGATCGGATCAACCATGGCATCTATGCTTCATAGTCTTTCCTCCCAAATGGAAGCGCGTAGTCAACAATTTATAAACGTAAGATTTTTTCCCATTTACTTACTGAATGCTTAATGAAGCATTAATGGTAATTAAAAGACATTGATTCATTACGACTCGAAGGTTTGTGGCAACCTGAAGAAGTTCTCCCGGCCTACACATCTTCGCTTCGGACCAACCGGTGGACAAAAGACTAAAGGCTATACCCTCTTGAGTTGTTAAGTGGCGCGGTGCTTGTCCTTGAGGCAGGCCTCTTGGCGGCCACCTCAAGAGTTTGTTCGACAAACGGGAAATGGCTAAAATGACAAGTAAAGCCAGGAGTCGGCAGTTGTGACAGTCTCTTTTGCCCTTTTCCCGGCTCATGCTCTCCTTTGTCTACCCACAAACCAGTACCCACAACCCACACTTCACACCCAACGCTCCCCAACCAATACGCCACACACCACGCTCCTACACGTCACACTCAGGTCCTCGTCTTCCTGCATTCGCACTTGCCTTTTGGTGGGACACATGCTTCCGAGTTGGGTAGATTGGGAGGAGAAGAAAAGCATCACGGAGCTCGAGGGCCGGTTTTGGGGGGAGGGTGAGGAAAGAGGGGAGTCGGGCTCATTTGGTACTGCCAACAAGAGAGTCCTTCTGACTCGAATGCAGCATGAAGCCTTACGTCGTTCTGCTGAACGAGTGTCTCGGCAGCACCGAACCGGTACTACGAGGCGTTAGAAAAGCATACACACTCAGTCGTGTACACATGAGCAACTGTGGATAATAATCAATCCCACCGAGTAGGTGTCAGCAAAAGGGAGCCCAGAAACACTCAGTTGGAACGTCATGGAAGCCTCGGGGGCACAGAAAAATGTCGAGTAATGCAGAGCGAAGTGACAACAAGAAAGATTAAGCACGAGAAAGAGGTTGGAATAAATGAGGCCGTGGGTTTGAGACGTTTAGATGGGGAGTCAAACGCGATAAAAGTTTTTTTGTGGTAGCATTTATCTTGTGTGAAAGTTCTCAATTAAGGGCCTTTGTAGATC